ACCCAGGAGATAAGAGGCCACCCCAAGCCCCGCAGAAACCAGAACCCCCGCTCTTCCCGTTCCGAGGACAAGTCTATGTTAACCTACCCACCCCTAAAGAATAGCATTTCTCACAGTGGGGTTTCAAGCTTTGCATCAGGCCAGGGAGAGAGAAGCAGTGGTCTACACCTCACTGTCTACACCACAAACCCCGCACAGGAGGCTTGCCTGAGGGGCTCGATGTGGGAACACTATGGAAACTATAGCTCTTCAAGGACAGACAGGATGAGCTCAGAGGCGCAGCTGCAGCACTGCGGTGAGACCTGAGTGTGGCCCTGCACTCAGTGTGAGAAGCAGGATTCTGCCAGGGAAGTAAAGGGAGATGTTACTTACTGGTTTTGATGCCCAGAAAGCCAGGTTCCCATGGAGAGCGGAAGGAAGAAGTGATAAAGATTCCCAAACAGGTTTGAGGGCTCCCAGGAAGAAGGGAGATGTGGCCCTGCTCTCAGCCTGGAGTTCTAGAGAAGGAAAGGCCCCGGCTTTGGTTTAGTTCTGAAATGTTCCCCGAAAGTCTCACACTTGGAGGGTGATTGGATCCATCCATTGGTGAGTTCGAGGCTGAACATGCTGGATAGAGGTGACTCACTGGACACATAACCCGGAAGGGTGCATTCTTGTCCTTGACTCTCGTTTCTCTCTGTTTCCTGAATGTCATGAGCTGAGCACCTTTTCTCTACTGTGTCCTTCTGCCATGCCATTTCTGCCTTGGAGTCAGCCAACCATGGCTTACAACCATGAATGAAAATAAAACTCTCTGTCAAGTTTCAGGTTTCAGTTATTTTGTCCCAGAGATGGGAAAGTGACAAAGACAGCCCCAAAGAGTGGCCTGAGTCCCAGATCTTCGAAGTGTTCTTGGACCCACTATATAAGGGTGTGGGGAACAGTCTCAAACCAAAGCTGCAGCATCCCAGAAGGTGTGGGGCAAATGATCACACATGGTCAGGAATGTAGAAGCCATAGGGTGAGAGAGAACCTACAAGCCACATGTCAGTTCTTGATTAGGATGGGCAGAAGCATCAGCAGGTGGCAGCAGGGACTCCAGAGCAGGAGTCCATGTGGGGAAGCTGCAAGCTCAGCACGGTTACCAACCTGGAGAGCAGAAACCACGGCAGAATGTTACAAAGGTGGTGGGGACACCAAGCAGTTTCCCAGGAAACCTCCAGCAGCACCGATTTCGGATCCAAAAGGCATCTTAGGAAGAACTAAAGGCTTCTGAAAAGCATGACACAGTTTTTCTCAAACTTCTAAACCATTAGTTGATAAATTATGAAACTTTACTTTTTTAATATAACACTAGGAAAGTGAACTAGATCAAAATTCAAACATTTGATATTGCTTCCTGGAAAATGAAGATTTTAAAAATCAGGGACCCCCCTGAGGTTTCTGCCCTTTGGAATGCACAACTTACCACCATTACCCCAGATGCCAGATATGGGGCTACAGGGCATAATCTTTACCCTAATAGGTTTTGGTCTTGCTTTGGTTTAATTTTTTCCTATTCCCCTAATCTTCCCTTTTTAAATGAGAATGTTTTAAAGGAGAATGTGCCATTGTACCTGAGATTATGTAATTTTTTTTTTTTTTTTTTACTTTTTAGAGCTTCACAGCTAAAGGTTTGCCTTGAGTCTCAAATGAGACCTGAAGGCCAGGGATTTAACTCAGTGGTGCCAAGCCTGCCTGGCAAGCTCAAGGTCCTGATGTAATCCCTGGTGCTGAAAAAACAAAAACACAGCATCAAATGAGACTTGAAATTGGACATTTGAAAACGCTGAAACTCCTGAGACTTTGGAGAGGGGATTATTGCATTTCTGAATATGTGTGGGATATTGTGTTATGTTAGGCAGAATGACAAACTTGCTATTTTCTTTATTTTGAGATTAAGTGTGGTTTAGTAAAGCACACTCCTGTTATGTCTGGGTGGCTCATGGAGTGTGACCATGGGTACTATATAGGGTCCCCCTGCTCTGTTTCCCAGCTGTCAGGAATTGAACTGTTTTTGCTCTTCTATGCACTTCTGCCACATTTTTGCTTTACAGCAAGCTGATCATGGACTGAATCCCCTGAGCCATGAGCCAAATTAAAATTCTCTTTGTGGGTTTCAGGTATTATGTCCCAGCAATAGAAAAACTGGCTAATATATCCACTCCCTGAAAGAAGACCATAGTGTGGCAGCGGGATGTTCATGACCTTTGCCAGGCCTTGAGTTCTGAATGCCAGCTTTCACCCAACCACAGATTCTCCACAGCTGTCTGTCCCACCTGAGCCTATTTACCAGTGCAGGCGGAAACAGCCTCAGGGCACTGTGCCTCTCGCAGGGCATGGGCCTCTTGACACCAAGGGACAACCTTTTTCTCAGTAATGACTTCTTCATGGAATTTTCTATATTCTTTTTGGAGTCAAATAGCCTTTTAGATGGGAATAACACCTTTTAGATGGGAAAGGACATGCACTTAGAAAAATATAAACATTACTATTACAATGCTAAGAGCTCAAGCAGCCAAAGAGAAACAGGCTGGACTATATAAAAATTTTTTAAAATGTTTGTGCTTCAAGAAACACCAACAAAGTGAAAAAGAGGGCCCATAGAATGGGCATAAATATTTGCAAATTACATATCTGAGAAGGAACTTTAGAATATATAAATAACTATTACAACACAATAATAAAAGATAGTCCAATTATAAAGTGGACAAAGGATCTAAATAGATATTTCTCCAAAGAAGAAGTAAAAAGGGCCAATATTCCTTGCAAAGGTGCTCAATATCGTTAGTGATCAGAGAAATGCACATCAAAACCACAATGAGATGTCTCTTCACATGCCCTGGGACAGTGTTGCTACTGAAATGACAGGCAGTAAAAAGTGTGGGCTGGCTAGGTAGAAACTGGAACCCTCAAACAGGTCTGGTGTGATGTAAGATAGGGTTTCCCATTTGTTAAATATTTGGCAATGCCACAAAATGGTAAATCAAGTTTTCATATCATTCAGAAATCCCATTCCTGACTATATACCCAATAGAGATGACAACATACATTCACAAAAACTTATACATGAAGGTTCATAGAAGCATTATTGATAAGGATTTTTTCTCAATGTTATTATTATTATTTTTCTGTGCAATACTAGACTCAATCCAAAGATCCATCACTTACTTGGCAAATGGATAAACAAGATGCAGTTGGACTAGAGATTTACCTCAGTGGTTCTACTGCCTGCCTCACAAGCACAAGGTCCCAAGTTTGACCCCCTAGTGCCAAAAAAAAAAAAAAAAGATGCAGTACCATATATCCATATAATGGAATATTATTCATCCAGATAAAAAAGAATGAGGTGCTGACAGATGATACAACATCAATAAACTTTAAGAACCCTATGCTAAGGGCAGAAAGCCAGCTGCCAAGGAACACATAGTACTGATTCCACTTATATGACATGCTCAGAATGGGCAAAACTGTGTAGAAAGAATAGATCAGGAGCTATCTGTGGCTAGAAGGGTGATGGCAAATGAAAAGAGAGACTGTTAACGGGAACAGGATTTCTTTGGGGGAGCTGACTGTGGTAGTGGTTTTAGAACTCTGTAAACATATTAAAAGTCACTGAATTTACTTTAAATGAGTAAATTTTATACCTTGTAAATTACATCTCAACAGAGCTGTTAAAAAATAATAGGCAAGTGCTCACTTCAGCAGCACATATACTAAAATTGGAATGATGCAGAGAAGATTAGCATGGCCCCTGCGCAAGGGGAAAAAAATTTTAGCAGCTGTACCTCAGACAAAGGTCTACCATCTAGAATATATAAAGAATTGAAAAAAACCCAAATTCGAAGACCCAATTCAAAAATGGGCCTCTGAAATGAACAGACATTTCTCAAAGAAGTAAAAGCCGCAAATATATGAAAAAATGTTCAACATCACTGGTCATTCGAGAGATGCAGATGAAAACAACACTGAGCTTCCACCTAACCCCAGAAAGAATGGCTGCTATCAAGAAATCAACCAATAACAAATGCTGGCGGGGGTGTGGAGAGAAAGGAATCCTTTTCCATTGTTGGTGGGAGTGCAGACTCGTGCAACCACTGTGGAAATCAGTATGGAGACACCTCAAAGAACTAGGGCTAGAGGTTCCATTTGACCCAGCTATTCCCCTGCTGGGTATCTTCTCCAAAGAATTAAAAGAATCATACCACAGTGAAATATGTGCACCCTGTTTATAGCAGCACAGTTTGTAATAGCTAAAGCTTGGGAACAGCCCAAGTGCCCATCAACTGGAAACTGTATGAAGAAGATGTGTTTTTTAAATAAAATGGAGTACTACTCAGCCATAAAGAATGAGAAATTAGAGACATTTATAGCTAAATGGATGCATATTGAGGCCATACTCTTAAGTGAAATAAATAGGACACACATGTGTAAATACCAAATAGTTTCTCTGGTGTGAGAAACTGAAAGTGTAAATAAGGATTAAAATGATTCAAAGGAATAATTGATAATTTGAAATAGGAAAGGGTCCAAAGGTGTAGGAGTGGTGGGAGGGGAATGCGAAGGGAAAGAGGGGAAAGGAAAAATTCTGAGAAAAGAAAAATAATGGAAACGAAATCTATGTAAATAGGGAAGGCTGGAGGGGGTGAAGGGCACACAGGTAATGGGAAAAAGTAAGAACCAAGATACATCATGTACAGGTACAAGCACCCAATGACAAATGTAAACGTATTGTATACCTAAAATGTACCAATAAAAGAATATTAAAAATAAAAAAGAGTAAAAAAAATTAAAAAATAATAGACAAGGACATAGACTGAATAATAAACAAAACTGGTTTCATAAACTGCCGTGACCTGAATGGCATAGGGTCTGAAGCCGGGGAGAGCAGTGGGAGATGAAGAAAAATGAAAACACCAAGATTATATTATGCTTAAAGCTGGGACCAGGTGAAGCCATAGCCTGTCGGGAGCTAAGGGCTGCCTGGAGTCCAGCGTGCTCTTTATTTACAGTGTTAGACAAACAGGGAGAGAAGGCGGGGTAACTGGTGCTACGTGGCCTTCGTGGCCTAGACTGAACGTAGTGTGATCATCTCCTGAACAGGGTATGCACAGAAAGGGAACAGGGAAGAAGGGTACATAATGTAACTGTCTCCAGGGCTGTGCCATCCAGGGTCTACAGCCTTACTCAAACAGACTGACGATGGAGGAGAAAGGGAGCAGGGAGGAGGCGATGGGCCATCTGCAGGCTTGCCCCATGGCAATAACCCAGCACACCACACCAATGCGAGTAGGGTGGGCATTCCCTGCTCCCACTGCACAGCAGGAACCATGCACTCGACCACAGGGTTGACATCAAGGTGCCTTAGCTGGCAAGAGGCCACTCTGAGCTCCAAAGAATGCCCTTCTAGCTCTGAGATCGGCTTATACAGCCTTACATGAAGCCATCAACACAGCAGGTTTTCTTCCCTGAGAGAATTCCTTTATGGAAGAAAAACTTCATCAAACCCGAGACACTTCTATCAGATTATTTTCATGTAAGCACAATGCACCAACCATTCACTGCAAATACCACAGTATGCATAGTCCATGCATCCCATCGGAAAGGGGGTTTCTGGTATCACACAGCACTTGTGGCTGCAGACTCAAGACCCCTTCTGTGCTCTGAGCCTTCTTCGCAGAGAAGTAGAACAGCTTCATGATGTCCCTGTATGGAGTTCTAAATCCTACTTCTAGTAAGTTGGACACTTCCCTCTGTGTAATGGATTCAAGAGAGATAAAACTCCAGTGGACACTCCAGAAGGATCCCTTCCAGGAAGAAGAGTTTCCCCGGGCCAGAAATCGTAGCCCATTTCACACCTGTGCAAAGAACAGAGCTTGTCCCTGAGAAAGCATGCAGAATATTGTGTGACGGGAAGGAAGGGAGGAAAGGAGGGAGGGAGGGAGGGAGGCAGGGAGGCAAGGAGACAAATGGATGGAGGATGGACAGAGAGAGACAGATGTGTGGGAAGATAAATGGAAGGAAGGAAGGGAGGGAGAGAGGACAACAGATGAAGGATGGATGGATGGATGGGTGATGGATGGAGAGTTGAATGGAGACATAAATCAGTGAGAATATATATAGATGGGTAGTAAATAATTGAGATAAGTAGAGGATGGAAGGGAAAGACAGAAGAGAGCTGTATAGACAGACAGATGTATGGATAGATGAATAGGTGGAAGTGAGCCTGACTGAGTGTGTGTGTCTGTGTGTGTGTGTTTGTGTATGTGTGTAAGAAAGAGCACATGCCCAAGGCAATCCAAGGCAATGAGTGTCATGGTCACATACACAAGCCCTGAAAGAAGAGACCAGAGATCCTCCAGCCCAGGCAAACAGGACACAGAGGGGAAGGAGCAGAGCCAGCAGACCCACAGAGACAGTCCCTGGGTTCTCAAAGGCCACCATAAGCCACAGAGGGGTCTGGGGATCTTCAGTGATGTAGTCAGATCTGCAGGCACCAAGAAGTAGGGGCTGGAACTTGGACTGTCAACCTCAGGAGGGCTGAGCAGCTTTCTCTGGGGAAAATCCTACTGCACATCTGCATCTGGGACTATCACAGAGAAAGCAGTGCCCAGCCTTCAGGGAGCAGGTCCCAGCCCCATGATAAGCCTGGCTTATGCGGAGCTGTGTGCACCAGGCCTGGGGGCATATCCAGGCTGGGCTCTGCAGCCCCAACATGGCCAAGTAGAAGTCCCCCACAAGCCGGGAGATGTGTGGGAAGGGGGAAGCCAAGGCCACCCTGGGTTAGGCTGTGGTTTTTAGTTACTTTTACCACCACAAGCCTTTCCATAGGGCAGAAGGGCCCTCCATCCAGATTCCCACCCACCAGTTCCCATCTAAATCAGGTGAGGACAGAAGCCCACCAGAACCTACCCTGAGTTCTGCACACGGGGTCCCTAGGAGCCAAGACCTGTGGTGGGCACCATTCCAGCCCCAGCCCTACCCCCAGGGAGCTCTGGAGTGACTGAAGTGTCCCCAGAAAAGGAACTTATCTCCCTGGAAATTCTGGTGTCTGTGATCTCATGGTCTCATCAGGGCTGAAGGTGGAAAGGATTTCTACAGCATGGCTCAGAACGGTGAGGCCCCTCTCTGAGGCCACTTGCACTACGGGGGGAAGTTATTCAGGGAAACTGTCACATGGTCCCAGTGCTGCTTCACACGTTTATCCTAAGCAGCAGAAATTATATCACGTTTAAACAGTGAGCTTCTGGAATCTTTCCGGACTGCCCACAGTTGGCTGGGGGAACTGGGAGGACACCCATGCCCCTGTAGAGAGCCTACTGCTTACACCAGCACTGTCTCAGCCAGTCTAGTCCTGGAGCTAGCACCAGAAGGAAGTCAGAAATCAGCAGGGCCTTGGGCCTTTGTCTCCTGAAACACCCAAGGCTCAGGGCCACAGAAGCTGGGCAAGTCAGGAGCTGGAGTTAGGAGAGCTCTTGACGTAGCCCTGTGAGGTCCCAGCCTCTTGGCTTTTCTTCCCTTCCAGATCTCTCAGGTCAGCAGTCTCAGGAGCAGCCCAGCTTCCTCTTCTTTCGCTCCGTGTTCTTGATCATTCTTATTTTCTACTTCTTCTCCAAGGCACTGCTCCTGAAATCGGGAGAGAATCCACAGGAGTTCCAATTAAACATGGTGAGGAGGTCATCATGGATGGTCAGGGCTGAACCTTTAGCTGAAGGGAACTGGCACTTTGTGCTAAGACTGAAGATGAGATGCAAGGCCAAGCACCCCGGCTGGCTGCAGGAAACCTGTTTTGTACCTAAGAGTGCAAATTTACTGAACAAAACCACAGGGAGCCCAGTGCAGGGAGATCTGAGGAAGGCAGGTGAAGGAAACAATCCGCCCATTCCTCCCTATCCTGGGCTTCTGCATCAACAAATTCAACTAAGCATGAAATGAAAATATTCCCCCAAAACACTGCATCTATACTGAATATGGACAGACTTTACTTCCTGTCGTTATTCCCTAAACAATTCAGATAACAACTCTATGCATAGCATTTACAGTATACTAGGCGTTCTGTGTGGCTTACGGATGAGTTGAAGTATACAGGAGCATGTGCGCAGGCTCCAGGCAGATATGCCATTTGATCTAAAGGATTCGAGCATGTGAGGATTTCGGCATCCATAGGGGCCCTGAACTGATTCTCTGTGGGTGCTGAGAGATGGCTATACTTTAAAAGTTGGGGCTTTATGCTTGACTGTGAAGATGTCCCACACACACATCTATGAGCAGTGAAATACCCAAGGTTCTTGTCGCTTCTTCTAAGAGCCTTCAGAATTTAAAAGTTAGGGCTTAGTTCAGCAACCTGGTGGGGGTAGCCCATCTTTCTGTTGCAAACCAAAGAGAATAAAAGCTCCTTTCTGGCAGATGGGCAGAACCAATACCAGACACGATGCAGCCTTCTAAGACAATGCAGTCCTCACTTGGACATTGTAGGGTTTCAATACTGAATCTCTATCCTAGAACAATCTACTTAATGAGCAGTATTCCTCCCCTGTACCACCTTCATTTACACATCCCCATCTCTTGCTTAGGGAGGGCAGCACACATGGGAAATCCCAGACTTATGTATGCAGCTCACTAATGCAGAAGGCTATGAGGTGGAGTACAGATATGTCATTCCACAATGTACAATCGTTACGGTTTAGAGTTTAAAATAATTATTTATTCTTTAGGCACTTGAGACCAAAGATTTTTCTGTGCAGGCAATGTCGGGCTTGGCTTCAGGAAAATCTAAAGTCTTATAAAATGCTAAACACACAAGCCACTAAAAACTATCCAGTAACTATCCTTCCCCACAATTTCACTCTACACTCGCTTTGGATCATGCTAAAACCTAATGCTGTATTCCACTTTCTATTTGCTGTATTCCACAATCTGGCCTTGAGAGGCAGGGAGGAATTTGTCTTGATTTTGTTCTGCCTGAAAGATGCTGGTCCATAGAAAAATTTGAAATTCAAATTTTTCAGCATTTCCTTAATGATGCAAGACTACATTCGATTCCCATGTGCTCTCCATTTCTTTTTGGCTTCATTAGTTTTTTACAAAGCTGTTCCTTATTCCACCCCTTCTCCCCACCCATGGCATGGAGATTCTAAGCATAAACCAATGCAGCCCACTGCCAGCAAGAAGCCCACAGGGAGTTGTCTAGGAAGCTACCTTGCAGGTTCACATGTCAGCTTCATGGAACAAGGACACAATGACAAAGGAGACAAGAAGCTCATGGAATGGCACATCTGCACTCTACTTCATGGCCTTCTGCATTAGTGAGCTGCATAGGTCGGGGATTTCCCAGGTGTGCTGCCCTTCCTAAGCAAGAGATTGGGATACATAAATAGGGATAGTGCTAAGGGATGGACAATTGAAAGATCAGGAACACATTGCGGACCCTTCCAAATGGATTGGAAGTAGATGGATGCCCCCAATCCCATTCCATCTTCTTGACCTTCACTTGAACCCTTGCTACATTATTCTCCAGAGGACAGGGAGAGATGCCAGGAGACACAAAATGGTGGTTCTACCAAGCATTTATGACGTGGAATTTGGATCTGTTTTTCCAATATTCCGTCACTGAATGGAATTGGTTTTCCAGTTCTATCCTCAGGCCCTACTCTGCTCGATGCTGAGTTTACTGATAAGAAAGTCCATGTCACCATATGTGACAGTTAAGTTTGATTGTGTCACCTTGATTGGCTTGGAAGCCACCAGGGTATTGGTGAAGCACACTTCTGGGTGTGTCAGGTCAGGTCCTGGAGGCATGACCTTGGGTATTGAGTACTCTGCCTGGTCCATCAACCCTTCCTCTCTAGCGCTACTCCCTGCTCTGCTTCCTGGCCACCAAGAATTAAGCAGCTTTGTTGGGTCATGCCTTTCCGCCATGATGTTCCTGCTTTAGAGCCTGTTGACCATGTGCTGAATCCCCTGAAACCATGAGCTAAATTATCTCTCCCAGCTGATTAATACACTGTGTTAATTTAGGCGTCCTCCCCCTCCTGCAAAATCAGCACTACCTGGAAAAGAGCAACTTTCTTATCCTACTGTGCACTTCCCCAGCCCATTCCCCAGAATCCTTGGAGCAGGAGGGTTAGTTCCAATCCCTAGAAGGAAAAGCACAGTTTTGCATCTGAGCTGAAAATACATATGTAACACATTTTAAAACTAAAGAATAAATGGAGTATTTCATTGTTACCTACACTAGAAAAAATTTAAGTTTATTTACAGAGCTGTCTAAATCAAAAACAGTTGGTTTGGCAGAACTTAATTCGAAGCATTTAAAAATGCCAGGATACTTTAGTTCTCTCTGATACAGAGTTTTTATGTCATACAGTAGTAGTTGATACTGTACTTATAGATGAGTTCTGAGGCTTGGTCAGCCTTAGTCACTACTATATCCCTCACAGCTAGGAAAGTGCCTGATATATTTCAATTCTCTATTAACAGTTATCAAGTGAGATTAGTGAAGGAGTATGTGAGTGAATCAATGGAGAATGAAGTAGGTAATCATTATCAATTTTCCACCTTTTTTGACATTTTCACATGTTAGGAGCTAAAGCATGCTAACAGATATCACAGGTCTGCTTGTATTTTAAAAGTTCAATAAACCTTTTTAAAATGAATGCACTCCTTTGCAAGCCTAAGCATCTGAGAATCAACCTCGCCAACTCAGTCATGGGTTGCAGTATATGACAATGGACACTAGAGGGAGTTACACAACTTGTCAAAGATGCGTTAGGCAAAAAAAAAAAAAAAAAAAAAACCCTTCAGGGTGATGGTTTCGCTGTGCGCGCTTCCCAGCACACTGCACCAGCATAAAACTGCTATTGCTGCTGCACTGTACAGTGTCCAACCACTCACCAGAACAAGCCGAAAAAAGTGTAGAACTTCAATTTGCCATGCATCAAACTTTTCGAAAAGCAAGCCCACCTCCCCATCTCAAATTGCCCACATCTCTTTTTGGATAACCCCTCCAGTTTAAAAAATTAAGCATAAATGGAAGAAAAGTGTTTCCCCACAGATGGCAACTAAGTCCATGACAAATTCACCTGGAGAAACGAAAAGCAAAAGTATGGACCTATAGAAGGGAAAAATAAAATTTTTAAGCAGGGCACAATTATTTCTTATCTCCAGCAACATTTCTGCAAAATAACATTTCACCATTGACTTGTTCAATTTCACCCCCTCCAGTCAAGGAACTGAAGGCATGTGCAGGCTAACCAGAAAATCACATCACATGGAATCGGGATCCTATTGGTCAAGTTTCAAAGGCCTTGCGTGCAGCTGAGTGTAGGAAGAAAGAAATTTCCCATAAACTCTCTCTCAAAAGGTCTGAAAAATCTGTAAATATTTCCAGAGCCATTATAAGCCACAGATGTTATCCACAGTCAGGTTTGTACAGACTTTAAAAGACCCAGTCCACACATGAGACTACTTCAAAAATAGGTTTTTTAAACATTTGCAAGGAAACCAAGTGAATTTCCTTCTGAAATGTTGTAAAATGTTCATGCCTTATTTAGAGTAAGAAGCAATTGGCTCCACTAGGCTTTTTGCTTAGCACTCTATTTCCATAGCAAGTGAAGTTGTAAGGAGCTTCCAAAATAACAGTCAGAAATAAAAGGACAAGAGATAGAACTTGAAAGATAAGTCCAGAAAGGAACTCTAAGAAACACTTAGTCATTGAAAGCTAAAATTAAGTAGCTCGGTGAGATGTCCAGGGAAAAGAGGATCCTGGAACGTGCATTATTGGGGGACCCAGGGGAAATTCTTGTCTGCTAAGACTTGTTGGTTTCTATGAAAGGAGAAACAGATTAGGAACTGAGAAAGTGCAGAGCATCTGTGACTGCATTTGCAGCCCTCACTTAGCAACTTGGAAAAACCTGAGATGTCAGCGCTGACATGATGGTTACAAGCCAGTGCTGCTTGACTGAAAAAACCCTCCTGAGTGAATTAAAATCCTGACTGCGGGCCCTGGGGGAGACAGGAGGTGTGGGTGAAACTGAGAACTACCCCCAGTTTATACAGGGAGTGAAAGATCCTGACTTAAGAGTAATTTTTAATTCCAAAGTTTTACTAATCTAATTATGTCCTAATTATAACGATGGCCTCCTTCCTTCAAGGGACTCAAGCTTGCCTCTGGAACATTCTCTGTGCGAGTCTTCTCATTTGCTTGAAAGGGGGACTTGGCGAATCTCAGAGTGAATTAAAGTGACAGGTTTGGCATCTGATTCCCAGCTCAGCTGCCTCTGACCAGACCACAGTCATTCCCATTCTTGATCTAAGCCCCAGTGGAATTCTCCAGGAGGAAGCCATCTTCCCCATTAGGCAAAAGCACCCTCCTCCCTGCTCACCCCCTCCAGCCCCCTCCAGCCCCTGAAGTTCCCACATTCTGATATGCAATCCGTTTTCTTTTTCTTTTCCCAGCCAAGAAACTGTGGAGTCCACAACAAAGACTGTAGCCTCGTTTGTGAGGTTCAGCCGAAAACCGACACCACTGGTCAGCTGAGTGCTCAGGGAGGCAGACTGGCTTCCCTGTCATTCCTAACTCAGTGCCACAGGGCAAGTCACTTAACCACCTCATTAGGATCACAGTCACAGCCCTGCCACGGTCTCTTCCCCAGTGCCTGTTCACCCCATTAATATCTGTAAAATCCGGCAAGCCCTCTAGCTGAAAGGCACCACAAAAGCAAAACTCATCACTATCATCATCAATAAACTCCAAGGCGCTCTTGCCTGTCACCACCTAAGGTAAATCAGTCACCCACCTTGGTCCATCGGTCCCCTAATGAGCACCTGCAGCCATGGAAATGTCCAAGATCGACACTCGAGTTCCAGGAGAGAAAGAGAGCCACTGCTTTAATTTGAGAGAGTCTCACAGCCACAAGGGCACCTGCAGCCTGGAGGTATCACACCTCCTGCCCTGGCCCCAGCCCCTCAGGGGACCCCAGGAGCCCAGGGAGGCCTGCTGCATGCAACCCAACCCCACTTGGGAGCAGGGAAATAACACTGACAGAAAGCATTTTGGAAGTAGAGAGATAAGTGGGTCTGGCTACTTAAGGAACATCTCAAGGGCTGCCTTCCCTTGGGACCCACCATTGGGCCCCTGTCCTCCTCCCTTATAAACACCTCCATTCAAAATTCCCACTGACAAAGTCACCAGGGCTCTGTCTGGAAGAATCCAGAATGGAAGATGGTGTGCCTGGCCATCAGCGGGAAATAAATAACAACATGGCTCTACGGCGCCATACTACACTGCCGGTAAAAAGGAGAAAAGAGACAAGCGAGCATTGTGTGTGTGATGTTGCTGTTGACATGGATGTGTTTTCCCTCAAAGAAGACAGGGATTGGACCTGCAAACCATGGGGGTCTTGAATTTTCACCCATGTGCATACATTACCTGTTCAAAATACTGCTTGCAACTAAGTGATCTTCAGCCAAACACAGGAAACTGACCTTAGAAGTTTGAAGGGACTGTTCTAATTGCAGAAGGGAACCCCTTAGTCTTGGAGAGATTTTCATTGCTAAATAGGTGGAGATCTTTCTGAGCAAGACAGATGGCAAGGTGAGCTTCACTCATGAAGGAAATGTACAAAATGATGCCAGCAGCCAGGTCTTTCTCCCTCCTTTGTTCTTGGCATAACCCCAACAAACACAGAATCCACATGCATGGGAGTTAATCTGTACCAGGTATCCATGTTTGGAATCACCAGACAAAGGGCACTGTATTCAGTCCCACTCACCATCCGGAAGTCCTGCCTGTTGAAGCTGAACCTGGAGCCAGATGTTGATGCGCTGGTCCCAGGTCCCGGGGGGCTCCACCTCCCACAGGCGACCCCGAAGCTCTGGACAGGCCAGCAGGAAGTGCCTGCAGACTGAGGGGAGAACACGCATGTGTCAGGAAGACCCCTGCCCAGCCCCGGTTCACCCGGACCAGCTCTCTCTGGTGTCTCGAACGTGGCCCTCATCCAGCTCCTCCTGCAGCAGCCCTGCCCCCCCAGCAACCTGCTCTGATCTCTGCTACACTCAGCACTTTCTCACCAGCCTCCCCTGGACGCTGCAGCCTCACCCACGCAGTGGTGCTCCCAACTCCATCCATCCCATGCGCATTTCATTTCAAAGACACAATCCCCTTTGATATCTGGCAGGGGTGGTTCCAGAACCCCCTGAAGGCACTCAAATCTGAGCATGCCATACTCATATATAATGGCATCGTGTTTGCACATAACTAGGAACATCCTCCTACACATTTAAATCAAGGAGTTGATTTACAAGGAGTTACAGTCCACTAAATATAATGTAAATGCTTTGTAAATAGTGGTGACACTACACTGTTTAGAGAATAATGGCCAGGGGGAAAATCTGTATATGTTCAGTAAAGACATATTTTTTTCCAAGTGTTTTCAATCCATGCTTGGTTGAATCCCAGAATTTGGAAGCCACAGATATGGAAGATCAACTCTACCACAGATCAGGTGGCTTAAACAACAGAAATTTATTTCTCACAGTTTGAAAGCTGGAGGTCCAAAATCGAGATGTCACGGGTTTGGAGTGGGCAGTTTTGAATGCCAGTGCCTGACTACGGGCAAATAGGGAGCTGCTCTGGCCCTGCAGGGGTCTGAGGGGTCCTCATCAAGCCCTCTCCTAATTTTTGTAGGGTACGGGACGAGAGCACAGGCAGAAATCTATAGAATGCAATGCTAACTATTTGAAAGTATCAAAGTGCTAGGTGTAACCCGCTCTGCCCTCCTAGCTTGGCAAATACAACTTCTTAACAACAGAGAAAGCCAGGGTCCAACTTAGAATTCTTGGACTCCTGGAGTTCTCCATCAGGAAGTGGCAATACCACAAGAGGGGGCTTCTCCCCTGCCCTGCTCCCTCCCCTCCTCAAGGGGGCGCTGCACACAGATGTGGACGCTGGCCCACACTCCATCTGCAGCCCACCAACAGCTGCCCAGGGCCCCAGGGGTGTGCAGGTGGGTGCCGTGTCCACCCCATGAGGGCAGACACAGGGATGAAGTGCAATCAGCCCCCAGGCAGCCACTGGTAGGAATCTGGGGTTCTGCCACGCTGAGTTGGTTCAGAAGGAGCAGTGTGGGTCCAGAGGGCACATCTCCTTGGCCTAGTGTCCTTGTCCCCTGCAGTTGGGATCCAGTTGGAAAAGGGGCTGAAAGCAAAGGGAGCAGAAAAAAAGAAGGGCAAGACTACCAAATAAAAGCCTGCCAGGGAGGGTGGGTGGCTGAACCACCAGGAGAAGAACTGTGGTTCCGAATCAGGACCTTCGGGTCTCTCTCTGCAGAGGGAGACAAAGGAAGGACAGCCGTTCCCGGAGGACAGGCTCCTAGGCCCCCACTTTCAAGACACTGAGAGCCTGAGGTGGCCCGAACTCGGAGGCCAACATGCTCCAACAGAGGTCTCAGAATCGACAGGAGAATGAGAGGCTGGCAGGTGTGGTCCTTATCCAAAGGACCTGCTGCCTGACTGCCACGGCCTGCCCTGCCTCTGACAGTGAGCTCCCAGCACAGGAAGCCTGGGGCATGCTCTGCAGAAATCCAAGGCTCTCTTGAGTTTAATAATAGCCTGAGGGTCTGAAAAACACAAAGAAATAACTAAACCCACTTGAGGGAAAGTGTGTTTTTCACCTGCTTTTCTCTGCGACTTCAGAGCAACAGAATTTTCCTTGCCGTTCCTAACTTTCCCCTCCTATCCATTGTTCTCTTCGTTCCAGAAGGACCCTGGGACTAAAGAGTAACTTGCAAAAGCATCTGTATGAAAAGCAGAGGGGCAGGGCCCAGAGCTGGGTGGGCGTGCTTCATGGGAAGCAGGGAGCCCAGAGAGGTCCTCTTGGGCCCGCCCACCCTTATTGACTTGGAGTGTGTGACGTTTAGCAGCTGAGCTTTTGATCTTGCTCTGGCAAATACATACAAAGAATGTCAAGAACTTGGAAAGGGATCCAGCAGGGTGATCAGAGAGGAAGGAAAGTGAAAACATCAGAGGTGCTGGAAGCTTCCACTCTCTCCTGCCTTCCTCCGTCAGCTCCTGGGCTCTCCTGCAGCTTCTATTTCAAAGGACAAAGTCATGTACTATAAGCTTCAAATGAAACAGTGGACTCACTGGGAGGGTCCCAGAGGCAGTTCTCTGGAATCTGCTTCTGTCTGAGGTTGTTGCTTTGTTTCTGATTACAGATACTCCTCAGCTCCTAATGAGGTCACATCCCAATAAACCCATTGTAAATTCATAATTTTACAGTACATGTAAGACATGTCACCTGCTGAGAAGTATCCCTTAGCCTAGCGCATCCCTCAAATGTGCTCTGAGTGCTTATACAAGCCTGAAGTTGGGCATACTCCTCTAACACAAAGCCTATTTTACAAATGTGGGATGGCTTGTGTACTTTATTGAACTCTGCATCCAAAAGAGAACCGGCAACACAGTCTACTGGAGAATCGCAGGTATTTACCCTGGCGATGCCATGGTGGACGGGGACCTGGGGCTCGAAGCCAGCGCCCAGCATCCCCAGAGATGGAATGGGACCACATATCCCAAGCCCAGGAAAAGATCAGAACTCAAAATTTGCAATACACTTTCTACTGAATATGTACTGCTTTCACACCTTCATAAAGTCAATAAGCTCCTAAGCCATCATGAGTTCGGGAACCACCCACATTTTCAAATCCAATGATGACTCAGGTAGAGAAGGTTCGTTTCCTGAGGTCCAGCATGAGGTTTCTGTGCTGAAGCCATGGGAGGCTCCTTAGAAGGAAGGAAAAGCTGAGGGCTGCATCCGCCCAGGGCCTCCCGAGAGACTCCCACCCCAGAATCACCTGGAAAACACAGGCTCTCTTCATCCCCGTCACCCGAATGCTCACACACACAAGGTGGGGTTACCTTGGAACATGGCAGGAGAAATCGGATAGCTGATGCCCAGGGCCTCATCTTCTGGAAAGGTCTCACAGAAGTCCCTCAGCATGGCTGTTCCCAGGCCTTGGCGACGGTGTGTCCTTCTGACAAACACAGTATCGAAAACAGGCAACAGATAGGACGCGCCAGTGCTGTTGCTACACAGACTGCCTGCAGGGAAAGCAAGACGCACACACTGTCTCTTGGGTTGGATGTGGACCCACCAGGACCCTGTGGGGTCCCTGCATAGCCAGGATCATTGCTGCCACCTGGAAGCAGAGTTAGCTTCACAAGGCAAACAGTCAATGCTAAAATAGCAGATCATTCCAAGTCACTAGTTAGCTAGTTGACCAATCTGTTTTCTTGTAAGTCTCATGTCTTATTAATTGCTACAGGGCAGCCACTGGACCACTGGACCACTCCACCAAAATGAGAAGGAAACCTGGAAGACTGAGCAGAGCAATGTCTCATGTACCCAACCTCAAGACCTCACCTTTCAGCCAACAAAGATTATCTTGGAAGCATCAAAATTCTCCCTGCAAGAGTGAATCCTGAAGCCAGAGAACATGGGCTGGGAGACCAAACACTCTCATCTCCAGGATATGGATTTGTATCAGTAACTCCGACATGGGCTCACAGTGCCCAATTAGGGCAAAAGGCATGTGCCCCAAACAGACACAGCACCAGGCCCTGCCTCCCACGAAACATTGATAACCCTGCTGCAGAACAGCAAGTGAACCTCCAGTTGGTCCCCTCCCCACTTTTCCACCTTGAATTTAACTTTATTGCAGCCAACACTGACACCAGCATGGCTGTCATTTCTGCAATGAGAACTTGACCTCAAAGCCAGTCATTTGTTACAAAGATACACACTACTGTGGTGAACCCTTTGCATAAATGGCCAAAGTTATTTCCCTTCCTATATCCCTACCCTTGGGATTTTTGAAGCCCATCCCATCAAGAAACAGAGTCTACCTCCCCTCCCCTTCAATCCAGGTTGGCCTGTGATTCACTCTGAGCCACAGAATGAGGCAGGGTAACAGCTCAGCAATTCTGAGCTTGGGCTGCATGGGTCCAGTGTCCCTCTAGACTCTCTGAGATACCTACAAACCAGCACAGACCTGTCTGATACCATGAAAGAAAAATGGTCTGAACGGCCCTGTGGTCCCAGCCAAGCTACAGCCAGCCCTAAGCAACAGGCCCAATTAGCTGACAGGTAGGTCACTGTGGACACAAAGGCAACATTAGAAAACCACTCAGCTGATCCCAGCTCAAGTGCCAACCAAGACAGTCCTTAAATGGACAGTTGTTACCTTATGCTAAAAATGAGTAAATCAACAATATATGTCCAACAAGGGAACTCAATTCACTTGAGATAGTAATTGTAAAATATTTGGAATTTTGACCTCAATGTGTTGGATAGTATCAACTTGATTGAAATTTTCATATTTCAATTTGTAGAACATGAGAAAAAGTTTCCCCTAATGTGAAGTCTTTCAAAGTTAAGAAAGTTTAGATTTAAATTAAGATATAATTCCATTCAACAAAGCATTAAGAAGAAGTAAATATTCAGGAATATATTTAACAAAAGAAGTGCAAGCCTTAAACATTGAAAACCACAAACTATTTGGAAGAAATTAAAGTTCTAAGTAAATACAGAAAAATTCCATGTTCATCAATTGGATAAGTCAAAACTGTTGACAGTTCTTCACAAATCTATCTATAAGTCAATGCCAGCTCTATCAAAACCCCAGCAGGCTTTTTGGTAGAAATGTATAAGCTGATACTAAAATTTATATGAAAGGTAAAGTCTCTAAAATAATCAAAATAGTTTTGAAAAAGAAGAGCATAGTTGGATGTCTTATGCTACTCAGTTTCAAGACTTCAGCAAGTATCAAGTTGAGTATCAAGTGTAATACTGGCACCCCGATACACAAATAGACAAATGGAACAGAATTGAGAGTCTAGAAATAAACTCCTACACTTAGGTTTTCAACAAAGGTGCCAAGACAATTCAGTGGGAAAAGGATAATCTTTTCCATTAATGGTGCTGAAATAACTAGACATCCAGAGGTAAACTAATGAATCTAGAAGTGCACTTTACACTCTTCACAATAATCATCATGAAACAAATCATAGACCTAAATGTAAATGCAAAACCATTAAACTCCCAGAAGATAACATAAGAGAAAATCTAAATGACCTTGAGTATGGCAATAACTTTTTAAATGCAACACCAAAGGCATGATCCATGAAGGAAAAAATTGGTAAGTTGGAATGATTAAAATATAAACTTTCTGCTCTGTGAAAGACACCACTCAAAGAATGAGAAAACCAACCACAGACTAGGAGAAAATATCTCCCAAAGATATGTCTGATAAAAAAAGACTATTAGCCAAAATATATAAATAATTCTTAAAACTCAATCAGAAAACCAAGACTCTGATGATAAAATGGGCAAAAATATGAACAGATGCCTCACCAAGAAGATACACGGATGACAAATAAGCATATAAAATGATCAATAGGCAACTGCAAATTAAAACGGTGAGAGGCCACTGTACACTTATTACAACAGCCGAAATCCAAAGCATGGATAACACCAGAAGCTGGGAAGGACACAGAGCCACAGGAACTCTTACTCACTGTTAATGGAAGCAAGAAATGGTACAGCTACTTTGCAAGGCACCACAGCAGTTTCTTAACAAAACTAAATATATTTCTGCCATATGATCCACCAATCACATTCCTTAGTATTTACCCAAAAGAGTTGATAATTTATGTTCACACAAAAACTTGCACGCAAATGTTGAGAGCAGATATATTCACAATTGCCAAAAAGTGAAAGTAACCAAGATGTCCATCAGTAGGTGAACAAATGAACAAACTGAACACCCAGACAACGGAATGTTGCTCGGCATTTTAAAAAATGAGCTATTAAGCCATGAAAATACATAGGGAAATTTTAAAGGCATATTACTAAGTGAAAGAAGCCGACCTGAACAGGCACCATTTTAATGCCCCAGATCCCAACATTCCATCAAGTCTGTGACATCCTAGGAAAAGAAAAGTTAAGGTTGTAATTTTTAAAAAATGGTTATGTGGGTGGAGGTGGGGTGAGTTGGTGTAACAGAGAAGAATTTTAGGACAGAGAATCTACTTAGTACGATACTACATGTCATGAGACAACCCACTGAATATCCAACACTAAGCGTGAACCTAATATAAACTATGGATTTTAGCTAATAATAATGTACTATTATGGGCTGAATTGTGTCTCCCTAACACTCACATGCTAAAGTTCAAACCCCCAGGGCCTCAGAATATGTATCAGGACAAAACACTTAAACCTAATGAGACCATTAGGTTGGCCCTTGTTCCACTGTGATTGCTGTCCTTAGAGGAAGAGGAAATTTGGGTCCAGAGAAAGACACTCTGCATGCACAAGAAAAGAACTTAATGAGAAGGTGGACGTTTGCAAACCAAGTAGCTGGGCTAAGGAAGAAATCTGTTATCTTTAACTTCCAGTCTCCAGAACTAAGAGAGAATCAAGTTCTGTTGTTTAAACAACCAGACTATGGTATTTTATCATGAGATTCCTAATAGGTAGGTAGGTAGGTAGGTAGGTAGGTAGGTAGGTAGGTAGGTAGATAGATATCAATATTGGTTCATAGACTATAAATTCATCACAACTAATGCAGTAAATTAATAATAGAGGAAACGGGGTCCTATACAAAAGAATACATTGTTCTTTAGTCTCAATTTCTCTGTAAACCTAAAACTGCTCTAAAAATGATGTCAATTATTGCTGTAAAATGTATTACAGGTTAAATTTATGGAGTACTGAGTCAGTGCCAAGCATTGTGTCTGGCACCTTCAAGCATTAGAATATTTTATGTAATTCCAATGACATTTTCTGTATGAGAGTAATTCATACCATTATAAATGTTTTCCTATGTGAATCATATTACAAAATCCTTAATTTTATATTTCATTTAAATTAATGAGGAAAAAGTTTATAATATATTTCAAACAAAGTGTTACTATATAATACTAACAACTATAATTATAGTTAATAACTAAAATCTCTTGGAAAAGATGAAAGGAATATTTGATTCAGATGCAACTTTGACTAAAATATTTACTTTAGAAATAAAAACATTCTTA